AATATTTAGAAATTTGAGGAGAAATCCCCATCGGAAGTGTCCTTAGGTTTGGTTTATAATATATGCACCTACTAATGTAGTAGTAGTGGTTTTGTTTAAATATAAAATATTTTGTTTAAATAAATACAAATACAACTAAAATTAAAAAATACCTCTGTGTTTATACTTTACAACTAATAGTAATATGATTGTGTTAAAAATTGTAAATAATAATTTAACTTGTTAAACAACGTATATATATATAACTATTTTTAAAAAACATTCCGTGCTTTAGTAACAAACCTTCTACTATATGAAAAGTAAAATATCATAGAAATATTAAAATCTTTATTAATTATACCTCCAACGATCCGATGACGGAGGAAGCCAGGAGACGGAATACTTGTGGTGATTGATGGATCGTATCGAGCTATTGAACTTACGGACGGACAAAATTTGGTCGTGTGTTCTTAAAACCTCTCTTGCAGCTTCTGGTGAAGCTATGACCACTGAGTTTAAACACCCAAGTTTAAGACTCATGACTGGCCCATATGTTTTCGAGAGGTCGGCGAATGACTGATGCGGGTTTTTGCCGACTTGGTGAATATTTCCGATGATCGGTAACCGTGGAGGTCCAGGAGGTAGCCCGGATCTGTATCGTGATTTTGCAGTGGTGAAGATAAGCAAACATGACAAGATAGAGCAAAAGAGGAGGAACAGAGCTTGTCCTGAAATGATATCCATGTGTTCTCTCAAATGATAGAAAACTACACAAAGTTATCTAATTAGTAATATAAGAAATCCCATGTGAGATATCCACCATTGAGGATACTCTAAGACTTTATAGAAAAACAAAACTACTAGTTCTAAATTACAAACACAAATACTTGTTTTCAAAATTTTAGTTGTACTTGTACTTTTCAAAAAAAAAAAAATATACACACAATGTATACTTGGTTATAGAAATAGAAAACTACACAAAGTTATCTAAATAATATACACACAATGAAAAAAAAAATACACATAATGTATACTTTTGTTGTTGACGAAATTAATTGCGTTTAAAATCCACCGAATGAATTTTCTACGAGTCATATACACATAAGAGCATGTTCATTGGGGTGTTCTCAAGTGTGTTCTTAAAATATAAAATTATTAAAACACACACTCTCTCTTCCTTTTACTCAACTTTATACCTTCTCTTTCATCTTTTTACTCAACTTTTATTAATTTTATATTTAAACACTCTCACTTCATTTTGAGAATACTATCTAAAAGTACTACTTTAAGAACACTCTCTTTTCCTTTTACTCAACTTTTATTAATTTTATATTTAAACACACCCACTATCTTCTCTCTTTACTCAAATTTTATTAATTTTATATTCAATACACCCCACAAAAACACTCTCTTTCTTTCTTTTTACTCAAATTTTAATAATTTTATATTTTAAGAACATACTTGAGAGCACCCCAATGTACATGCTCTGCTGTGGACGAAAATAATTGCCTATAAGTTCCACCGAGTGAATTTTCTGAGTGGGGATCACTTTGTGATAAATATTGTTTTTCAAAGGCCCTACTTCGTTTTGAAAAAGTCTTATCACAAACTGATATCCTTTTCAAAACAGAAAAAAAAACTGATACAAGATAATTAAAAGTCACGAAAAAGGTGTAAACAGTCGTTGTTGACTTGTTCAGCCAAATTTTTAACCAACTGATCAATGCTAGTTATTAAATTAGGATGTTAAGGAATGGACATGTTAGCGGCGACTTCCATGAGAGATGGCAGAATCCGGGACCTGGTGTATTGAAGTGCAACATACATGGAAATTGGAGAAATTCCATGTTACATTGCGGTGGTGCTTGGATTCTGCGAGACGAAGCGGGGTCTGTTGTTTTCCATGCACGAGAGGCATTTACACGCTCTCATAACAGGTTAATAACAGAGTTTCGAGTGATGGTTTGGGTTTTACAAAGTTTGAAAGACCTTCACATCACTAAGGTGATCATTGCATCGGATTGTGTGAATGTGATAAAGGCGATGTCGAAACATCAAGAATGGCCAAGGTATCGGACTTTCATTCACCAAATTCGAATGTTGCAAAGAGATTTTGAGCAGGTCTCTTTTGAATTGGAGTCGAGAAGGGGTAATAGGATTGCGCGAGAAATCTCCACAAGCGTGACTCGGGACGGAAGGTTTCAATCTTACTTAGCACGAGGTGGTCCAGCTTGGCTTCATAATTTAATTGAGAGTGCAACATTGTAATTGCATCTTGAGTGCCCTTGTCATTGGGTGAGATGCGTTTTGGTTTGTTTTCAATTTTGTAACTTTCATGGTGTCTTCCATCTCAGATGGATATCGTAATAAAGTTCTTCAGAAGTTTAAAAAAAAAAAATTAGGATGTTAAGTGGTTTTTTTATTATAAATTATATTGTGTCAATTAGAATTTCACATTTTTGGAGTTCTAAATTTATTATATAATTAGGGAGTTTTTTCTCCATTTAGAGTGTTCACATAGGTAAAATTATTTTTTAAAACATTTAAGGTTTAAAATGTTCATTTAATATACACCAAATGATATTTATTTGTTTTTATAACTAATAAAAAAATTAAATTAAAATAAAAACGTGAAAGACTAAAAAGATGAATCAAAAATAAAAGAATAAATCTAAGACTATACAAAATTTTATTTGTAAAAATAATATGAATTTACTTTTACGACATATTAAAAAAAAACTCAAATTAATGTGTTTCTAAATTTATAGTTCAAACAATTAGTAAAAATCAACTGACTTAACCATATGTTATCTAAAATATGAAAAAAAAAGAATATTTTCTATATTATTTTTAAGATCTATATATTTCATGAAATATGAAAAGTTTCTTTTTTATTAAAAGATTTTGTAACTCAATAAAAAAAGAAATCTTACATTCAATCCAACTTTATTTATTTTAGAACAACACATTAAACTTAAAAATTATCTTAATATTTTTATTTATCAACCTATGACGAAGANAAANGNTNAACAAATANTATCNTAAAATNTNAANTATTTCTATACGATGAACAAAAATCAAAATATATATAAACTCACGAGACCGAGATAAATTACAAAAAGTAATGATAAGTAATCATACTATAAAAATAGAGTAAAAAATTATTGATAAATTTTATATTCTAAATCATAATTGGTTATTTAGATAACATGATTTATATAATGGTCACACATATATATGTTAATTTTTTTTTTAAACTAAATAAATGAGAACTATCGATATCGAAGTCATTGGTAATCACTTCATATATTTAAGCATTATTAATACTAAATCATAAAATCAATCTATTCTATTTTAAATCAAATATTACTTTGTAACTAAAAAGAATTAGTTGTTTTACCATACATAAGTACTAAACTACTAAATAAATAAAATTATTAAATTTAATAAGCTGTAAAACAAAAATTCGCACGAATGCGCGGGTTATATCCCAGTCTCTAAAATTAAGACAAAGGTCTGCTTCACTAC